CATTAAATAAACGAGCTAGTTTTTATTCTCGTGCTATGATACAATAAACTACAATACAAATAACTGTTCATCCATTATTATATGATTTTCTTGAACAAACACGTGAACATGTAACATTACTACAGGAACAAGATAGACAAACTAATTTATAACAAGAATAAATGCAAAACGTTAGTGAATAAAATTCTAATAATGATCAGTTAAAAACAATGTAAGTTTATTGATGAATATGTACATTCTCTTTTTCTTATAGAAGAATCTAGTAGAAAGAAACTATTTACTTGCTTGCGTATCTGCAGTTCAACAAAACTCAACAACACTACTGTCTACCAGCCCAACTTACAATACCGAGCACAGTGAACACATCCCGTTCAAACTTTGAAATGCATGGAAGATACCAAAATGTCGTGTGTGGCTTAAGTCAAGAGCGAACATATACTAGTGACTTATTGATTCTACCAAGTGGTGACACGATAGTCAACGAATCGATGATCAATTTTGAAGGTCTTGTAAGAGTAAGGGTGGGTATGTGGGTAGAAGATTTACACACATCATCAAGAAAAGGAGCAAATACATCACATATTCTGAATGCTAAAACACCTTCTTGCTATTACTAAAATATGAGAGAAGAGTAAGTCTTGATCAGTCTATGTTTTTATTTCAGATATTGTTTGAAAAATGCCTTTCTACAAAAAAGTTCAGTTGAAAGTTATGAAGGAGTCAAAATATGGTGTCGATGAGAAGGGTTTATTCGCAGTTGAAAAAATTTACAAAGGTGAAGAATTAATTTACGAATATGATCCTTTGGTCGAGGAATGGCCATTTTATCCTGATAACGATAAACGAGGAAAATATACCAAAGCAGAATTATTCAAGTTGATTGAAAATAACCCGAAACTAAGCAAACTTATCTACTATCAAGCTTACAATGTTGACGATGATTTATTCAATCTTCCATTTAAATATGCAGTCATGGATTCTGATAATGTTGATGATTGTGAAAAGCGTTTTCCTCATACTTTATTCATTAACCATTCTTGTGACCCAAATATTGGCTTTATTGAAGTCACAAAATGCTACGCACTACGAGACATTGATATTGGTGAAGAAATAGCACACAATTATGGATGTCTTCTGACCGAAAATTCTCTTCAGGTTGGAATAAAATGCCAATGTGGATCAAAAGAGAAATGTCAGCAAATTCTTCGCATGGATTTTTATAAGGACCCAATATGGCGACAAGAAAACGAACGGTATTGCTTCCCTTATGTTAAAAAGAAGATCCAAGAATTACTATATAACAACGAAACAATTGCTAAAAGTAAGTAATTTCGAACGAGCTATTCCAATTAGTGAATAAGTCATCTAACTCATAATGAGACCTTTCGTATTAGTTAACAGCTGTCTTAACTGTCGACTAGCCAAGTCCTCAATTTCATCACCAAACTATCAAATTTAAAACATTATATTCCCATAAAGAGCCTCAACTGAAATAATCGATTTTTAAGAATGAGTTTCTGATAAGATTAGCTACTTAAGGATACCAACGATGGTGAGATGATATATAATTGTATGATCTTTTTATGTATGGAAGAGGACTGTCAGTTATTTACTTCCTGAAATTATCAGTTCTATCCGATGAGATTTTGATGTGAAATGATCAAAAAACATAGTCCAGTCCTTTTATTGGATTTTAAGCATTAGTCATATCGAGAATATGCTAAAATCTCGATTGGGTGCGTTTTTCAAGTAGTAACATACATCAAGCCTGAAATTTTTCCCATGAAAAGTGCTCATTGCTATCTATTTGCTAAAAACGTTTCAGCCTTGATGCATTTTGCCGTATAAAACGCATCTAACCGAAATTTTGGCACATTGATTTTACGAATAATGTTGGAAAGCCAATAAAATGACTAGATCATGTTTTTTGATCATTACATATTGAAATCTCATCGGATGCAGCAATCATTTACAACAACTAAGTTTATATGATTGATTAGGAACCATTCTGTGAAGATATATGTTGATTGCTAAGATGAATCTGCTATATGTTTTTCTTCTGTCGCATACTAGTTCTTGTTTTTTTTTGTTTAGCTGCTACAATTGAGCAGCAAATGTCAATGCCCGATGCTAGTATGTTTTGGCTTGATGTCCTCCATGGTTATCAGCTTGATCGATCTCTACCATTACCATTTGATCGATATCGTCTTGTGGATGAAGATCGAACGGGTCGTGGTATATCTTTTTCCATCGATTTCGGTGAAGATCTCTCACATTACTTTCTTCATTATGCATCATCAATGAATATAAAACTTGAACATCTTGTATTTGCCATTTATTATGCTTTTATGTTCAAGTTAACAAATGGAGAGACGGATTTATGTGTTGCAGTTAAT